AGGGTAATTAAAGCAATACCTTTCCTTGCCTGCATTGCAAAACATGCAAAATGATGCTTTTAAATTATTTTTCGAATGTTTTCAGATGGAGTGAGATGGGGCTGAGTGGGCGTTTTATAAAGCAGCAAGAAAAACTGTTGTTGCCTGAAGCTGTTGTCCTGAAGGTATTTTTAGGATGACTCAGGCATAAGGTCTGTGAATTTCCTTGTCTTAGGCTGAAGGAAAAAAAGTTGACATTTTCCTTCTAGCTGCTTTGGTTAAATATTTGAATATAAAAATCCAGCCTTTCAAGGAAATGGAAATTTATTTTTAAGAGGTTTGATAAAATAGTCCATCTCAACATCCACTGTGGTGTAATTCTGCTAATTTTCCAATTATCTGCTGAGGAAGCAGGGTATATGAGATAAAAAATAAAAATGGAATTTTCTTTTCCTCTTAGAGCAGATATCTTGGGTCTTCATCAAGAAGCCAAAAAGGAGAAAAAAAAAAAAGAAAGGCCATTTTATGGAGATACAGCCACCCATGCCAATCTCTGCAATGACACGTGTTAAGTTTTTGGATGTCTTCCTTAAACTTAATAAACTTTGAACAAGAGGAAATGGCCTCAAGTTGTGCTGGGAAGGCTCAGGTTGGATATGAGGAAGAATTCCTACAGGGAAGGAGCGGTGAAGCATTGGAACAGGCTGCCCGGGGAGTGGTAGAGCCACCGTCCCTGGCCATGTAGAGAAGGCGCTCGGATGTGGCTTAGCAGGGATCTTGGTGCCGGGCTCAGGGTTGCACTCATTGATCTCCAAGGTCTTTTCCAACCATAATGACTCTGTGATTCTGTGTGTGTTGTCCCAGTGGCTTAAAAGCAGCTCTTCTGCGTGTCTGCTCTCCGTTCTTCGTAGCTGTTGTGACTCTACAGGGAAAAGCAGATGTCAGGAAGGACCCATGAGCAACTGCTGGTGTCTTTCAGACCTACCAGCGTGACCTGGGAGCCCAACAGGCTCATCTCGGTATTTCTACTCTCCTTGCTGAAATTCCTAAATTTTTATTGTTTTATACCTGACTATAACAAATAGAAATTTATCAGATAAATACTTTAAAATGTTTAATACATATAAAAATACTTTTTTTTGATATTACATGTTAGCTTGTGTGTAACCTATGTGATCGAAAGCTGTTTGTACACATACACACATATGTCTTATATTGTCTGTGCTTGGCTTTTTGGTGATTGTCTGTGCTTGGCTTTTTGGTGGTGTGTGCCGACCTCAGCCACCGAGAGCTGCCTGTGTGTCCTCATAGAAATCCTGAGGTTGGCAGGGACCTCTAGAGATCAGCCAGTCCAACCCTCTGCTCCAGCAGGGACACCCAGAGCACGGGGCACAGGGCGGCATCCAGGCGGGTTTGGGAGATCTCCAGGGAGGGAGACTCCACAGCCTCCCTGGGCAGCCTGTGCCAGAGCTCTGGCACCCTAACTATTAATAAATTTTTCCTTAAGTTCCTGCGTAACTTCCGGGGCTTCAGACTTGTGACCCTGCTGGAAGAGTTGTGCATTTACAAAACAAGCGTGCTCTTCTTGAGTTCTCCTTGAACGTGTCCCTGTTTGCTTCTCCTCCGCTAGCAGGAAGCAGCACCTGGTGGGAAGAGTGGCTGGCCACTAAATCCCAGTGGCCTGGAAGGGACCGGGCATCGTGTGGGTGCATCAGAGCATCGAACGTCCAAAATCCACGTGTTTGCAAATAAAAGGTTCCCAAATTAGGAGAGAGTTTTGAAGTCTGTGTCCCTCGGTCCTACCTTGCAGGGCTGCACTGGCACTGCTGAGCTCTGCTCTGCGCGGTGGAGCGTGCGACCAAATTGCCTTTTCCGTCTTATTCCATCTTTTTTTCCCCCCCAGTAAGCGCTTAGTGAGACGTGTCCTGTCTTAAGGGAGAGCGCCTGTCACGTGGTGGTTGTCATCGGCTCTGGTTGTGAGTGAGCGTCGGAGTGGGCCTTGCCACAGACTGGGAGTCAGTCTGCACAGGTCTGTTCGGGGGAAATTAAGAGGGTGCCGTATCAGAAATTGGTATTTCCGTTAGTTAAATTGCTTTTCCTTTAGTTAAATTACTTAATAATGTTTCAGTGGGGGAAAAAAAAAAAAAAGTAGCAGGTAGTTTTATTATATCAGCTAATATTATTAGATTATATTATTTTTGAAGAATTGTTGCATTTGCGATTTTCAGCTCATAGTAGGTTTTTGAAGCTGATTTTTGTAAGGGTTTTACTTTTAAAACTTTTCAAGGAACCACACTCTATAATTGTGAAAGACCAGGGCGCATGAAGTCTAAGATTATTTGTGTTAAAACCTGCCATACAAGGCTAACTTAATGCGACGAAGGACAGAGGAAAATGACAACGCAACGCACAGTTTATGCTCTTTAGGAAGCTATTTTTGGTGCATCTGAGATTCCAGAGGAGCAAGGGGCAGCCCTGTTTTGCTTTCGCTTACACGAGCCATTCAAAGCAAAAGATAAACTATTTGCACGTGCTCCGGAGCACCTCAGAGTAACCCCGTTTTTCCTTTGATTGTAAAAACAGACCGTACTGCTTGGTAAGAGAGTCACCAAGGCCGTGTCTCTAGCTGGGAAACGTATTGGTTGGAAAGGAACCGGCCTGGATGCGGCAGGAAGGTGTTAGAGGTGACCGGGTGCGGGAGTAGGTAGCTGCCCGCTGAGGGCTATTGCCAAGGGGTTATCGGGGACGTTTTGGTGGTAAAGCCTGTTGGAAGGTTGGACTAGATGATCTCTAGAGGTCCCTTCCAACCTTAAACGTTCTGTGATTCTGTTTACAGGCCCAGCTGGAAACCTCTCCTCAGCAAAGGCTTAATAATATCACAGCGGTGCAGCAGGGCTTGGAAGCGTGATGGTGCACGGTTGAGACCTGGCGCCGCGCGGCCAGCGCATCCTCCTGGGCAGCCCCTGCCCTGAGCGCCCTGGGGCTGCTCTGCCCCCCGCTGCACCTGGGCGCGCGGAGACGCAGCCGGAATAGCTGCAGCTCGGGAGGAAAGCGCGTGAGGAGACGCGGGAAGGGCGCGAGGTTTGCTGGCCGCGTGCCCGGCCTGTGCGTGGTTATTTCTGTTACCTGCATGGCTTTGTTTGGGATTGCAGCCTGACATGCAGGTGGTTGGGAATGTCTGACGGAACAGGCGTTTCTTTTAATGGATAGAATTCAGCTAAAGAGTTAAAACACTCAGTTGTTCTGCCTGACAAATGTAGCAGGCTTTCAAAATACTGAATTTTCCTGATTTTCCTAATTAATTATATTTTTCTCTGTGAGCTGTAATGATGGTGTGAAATCTGTGGGTAATTCTCTTAATGATGACGCTTTGGTTGTTTGTATGCTCAAGCTCAGGGTTCATCTGCTGCGAGGCTGGAAAAGATTCATCATCAAACCCTGAGCTTAATAGGGCAAATGAATTTGATAGCCAGTCTGCATTCTTGATTGCTTTTTGGTAAATCTTGCAGCTTAGTCTGCAGGATTCATTTTTGCATGTGTATTTTTTCCTGTGTGTTCATGTAATTTATCAACTATCGTGCAACTTTGTAAGTAGATTTTTCTCTCCCTTTTCTGTAAGGAAGGAATCTGGAAGGAAATAGGAAGATGGATGGCTGTTTTTCTCCAATTAAGTTGGTAAGGGGTTAGCGAAGGCCGGTCCTGGCTGCGAGCTGCCTGTGTTTCTGTTCAGCAGCAAGTAAATCAGTGCAAAGGAAGCTGTGTATAAAACTGCAAAACTGTGTATAAAAGTGCTTCCAACGTCCTGTAGTTTTATTACGCTTATAAATATCGGGAAAGTCACCTAAACCCACTACTTTCGGATGAAGTCTGTCAAGGAAAGGATCGTTTTGTAGGCATCGGAAAGGGAGGAAGCAGCATCCATGTTTGGGAGAGAGAGATGAGTTTGTGGAGCTCTGGGCCTCCTTCCAAACGCTGCAGCCAGGGTGTTTCCCACGTTGCTCCAGTGAAGCTAAGGAGTTTTAGGATAAATCCTGTTGCCTTCCCTTCTTTCAGTTAAGTTTTAATTTAAAGGTCTAAATAACCGCCACCTGGAAGCTTTTGGAGGCAATTTGGAGGATGGTCCCTGTATCCACAAGCCCCGTTCCGAGCTCGGCTCCGGGTCTCTGGGGCGCCCTTGGAAGTGGCGCTCGGCTCATGCGGCGGCTGCTGCCTCCTCTCAGCGCCCCGTCTTTCCCCAGAGCCCCCCGAGGACTCTCCGCAACCACAAGGAAACAGAGCTCAAGGTTCCCTTAGTTCCCATTTGCTTTCTCCTTCCTCACACAGGTGGTTACAAAATGGAGTTCATCCTTCCAGGGAGATTTTCTGCGGAAAAAACGTAGGGGAAACGGAGTTCCCCTTCCCATGCCGATGTGTTGGGGGCCAGCAGGTCATTTGCTAAGGACAGAGTTAGTAAAAACCAGCCTCCTCTTGGGCCAGCTGCATCGATGTGATTTATCTATGTGCTTTATGGGTGGTTTTGCAGAGGAATAAGCCCAGGGCTGCTGCTGGTCCCCACTGCTCCCACGTGGGAGCCCTGGCTCCCTCCCTTCCCACGCAGGTTCTGGTTGCTGTTTGCCCCACCGCGTTGAACGCGGCGGCGTCTCCTGCTACCAGTGTTTTCAAAACCATATTAAAATACTCTCTGCATCAGTAATGCACAATAATACCTATTCCGAAGAGTCCCCTGACTGCATAAATTATCATAGATGGCAAGAAACTACTGTGGGATTAGCTGTTGACTGCAGATCCCATGCCAGTGCTTTTCTTTCTGCAGTTCCGTGTAATTTAACATGTCAATAGCGTTGCTGGTAAAACATGATAAAATTTTATATGGCAGTATTACTCATAATGTACTGCATATTTATGTGTGAATGCTATTACTCCTAAATATAAACAGATTTTTCAAGACAGATTTCAGTAAATGACTTTCTGAAATCTTGCTTTTTCGTATGTATTTCAGTAATGACTTCTTTTTCTTGCAGACAAAATTGAAGAAGCACAAAAACAACTTAATGGAACAGAAGACCAACAGAGAGGTAATAAACAAAAACAATACCAAGTAGAGAAAGCATACTGTGATTGTACAGGCTGATCCAAAGCTTTTCTTTGGATTAGGGAAAAGACTCCACCGGGCTGGGTATTGGATGTGGCCCGGGGGGTGTCTCTCTGCCCATCACGTGCTGTGATCTGGTTTTGCTGAGACACAAATGCTTTACTTTGACCACTTGAGTAGCTGCACTGACCTTGAGACCACTAGAGAAGTTGCCAAAGTTATTGACTGCAGCCTGTACTAACAGTTCGGTTCATAATCTGATTTAGCTAATCATTAATAGCCATGCTTGGTCTGTGACAAGCAATAGGTGCTGATTTCTAGCAGATGCTGAAAGGAGATTTATCATTCAGGTTATTTTAAGAAGCAGCTGACCTGTGACAGATTTAAGTCTGTATGTTGGAGCGAGAAAGCTGGTCATTGTGTTTCATTGTCCTTGTATTTCAGGGCTGGCTGAGTGCTGTAGTGGCACATTCGAGTCCTTTGCCTTGTTCACCCCTCTCTGGAGAGCGAGTTGCCCTTCTGACCTGTGAGGGGCCTGTGAACAGCACCGTAAATCGTTGATGCTCTGTCCTGCACCCAGAGTCTGTCTTTTGATACAATGAATTTCAAAACCTCTTGAAGATAACAGAACCTAAGAACCAACCTACTAAATCTCATCAGCAGAAGGCACTAGGACATGCTATTTATGGGTGCTGTGTTGGGCTGGCCACTTTCTGCAGTCCGTTCCCCTCGTGTTTCCCACATGATTGGACTAGGGATGTCTTCCCAGTCCCTGTAGTATCTAGATGTTTATGGACCTGTTGTCCATGAATTTGCGTGATTCTTTTCTTGCCTCCCTCATTCTGTGGCAGCAACTTGCAGAAGCTCCCTACCAATCACATGAAAAAGTGCAGTCATTTATATTTTTTTTCCTGGTTTCCTACTTGTTCCAACAGATGCCCCCCAGCTCAAGCACTGTGCAGTTTGTTAAACAGCAGTTCTGTATTTCACCCTGCCCACCCTCTTTGTGATTTTAGAAACCTTGTCCCTATCCGCTCTTGGCTTTCCTTTCTCCACACCGAAGAGTCCCAGCCTTTTTATGCTCCCTCTATACAGCAAACTCTCCATCCTCTTCATCATTTCAGTTGCCTTCAGTCCTTTGTTCAGCTTCTCTGTGTTCTTCAGGTGCAGAGACCAGAGCTGCAGCCAATAAGCAAGACGTAGGCACGTCAGGGGGTTGTGTAGGGGCAAGGGGACGAACACTGCTTTGTTCTCATTGCTCTGCTTGAGGAAATCGAGAGCTTTTAGACCGTTTTGGCCACCACTGCACACGGAGCTGATGTTCTCGGAGGACTGTCATTGAAGACTGAGAGGTCCCTTTCCCGAGTTCCAGGTTTCCCCATCAGCACCGTGTACATGTGGCTTCAGTTCCCTCTTTTGCTGTGGAATTTGCTTACTTATTATCATTTCTGATGAAAAGAATAAATTTGCAAACATGAAGATGCTGAATGGCCCAAGATACTGGTGTGTGTCAAGAACACAGGTGGGAGGTGAAGGACAGCAGAATTCAGGTCTTCCTGGTGCACGGCCTTATCCAAGTAGGCTTTTGTTGGGGAGGGGAAAAAAAGGATTATGGCATTTCCTTATGCATTTATAAGAGGTGAGGGGAAAGAAAATAAGTGACCAGATAGCAAAAGCAGTACTTCAAACATTTCAACACAGACTTCCTCCTAAATAGGCACATTTTTGTTCAGTGAGATGCAGGTAAGTGGCTGTTGCCATTCAGCTGTAAATTTGTGATGTATAAAGCATTGCTGCCTGCTTCTCGTGTTGATCTTGCACAAGTAAGCTGACCTCTCTTTCCAGGGTCTTGTTCTCAGCTATGTCCCAGTAACATGTTCATGATCCTGCACAAATGAATAGAACTGCTCTAGTGTAAACTGTGATGCACTCTGAAAAGGTTGAGACTGCAGGTTTGTAAGTGAGGGTAGCAGGCAGCTTTGAAAATACCAATTGTCAGAAGTTTGGACTTCTAATCTAAATTCATGTGGCTGGCAGTTGAAAAACAAATGTCTACATATAAATTTGCTGTAGAAATAATGGAGATAATTAGGCTTCTGTTTCCTCTTTCAATGAGAAATGTCCTTTGCTATTTTTTAGTTTTGTTTCTTAAATATCTGAACACATACTGTTCTTGGTTATATGAAAATGATTCATATAAGGCTTTAGAGTCTGGAAAATAGATTCATTGAGCTAAACCAGTACAAATGTGGACATATTTACATAAATTATTTTAAGCAGCTCCGATGTAGTAAGATTCACCTGAACTATGGATAAACACTTTACCTCTTTATTTATTTCTTTTGTCTTTCCGTTCATGTAGATCGCTTCAGATTTGTTTGTTTCCAATCTGACATGAATAGGGAGTGTAATATCATGGAATTTAACCCCTGCTCTGTCACTACTGGAACTGGCAGTGGTGTGGAGGAGGTCTCCATAACTGCAAGGAGGAATTTTTCGTAAGTTTACTTGTGGCAGGTTTTCATAGAATCACACAATCCTTAAGGTTGGAAGGGACCTCCATAGCCATCTAGTCCAGCCCCCCTGCACACGCAGGGTCACCAAGAGCACAGGGCTGCATCCAAGCGGATTTTCCACTAGCTGGTGTGCACTGATCAGTGACAGCTTCACAAATGTGTGGGACTGTAAGTAAACTTAGTTGAATGTAAAAAGATCTATTTAAATATTATTTTGCCATAAGCAATTCCAGTTAAGTGCAAATTGTGAAATAGCTGCCTATTAAACACTGGGGAGATAGAAAATGAGCAGGCATAGTTTTTGAGTTCAGTCCAATGAACAGTTATTTAACATAAGATATTTACCAAAAAAAAAAAAAATTATTTATCTTTCCCTTGAGGGGATGGGAGATGGTAGCCCACAATACATTCTTTGTGGGGATGTTCCCTGCCAGGCCCTGCCATCTGAGGCTAGAAACATTTTCCTCAAGGGCCATGGTCACTTCTGCCCTCCTTCCTGTTCGGTGAGTGTATGAGGTGAAGAATTCCTGGCATCACTTCTTTTTCTCTCCACTGCCCAGCTGCTGTTAAGAATTTTCAGTCCTAGCAGCTCTGCTTCTCTTTAGCTTGTACGGTATCTCCAAAGGCCATTTTACACCCTGTGTGGGAGTTGAATGTCATCTTCAGACACACGTGCACATTATCCTTAGTGCCATAGTGCAGGGCTTGTTCCCAGCAGGTGCCCCATGTGGTGGTGGTCTGTAAAACCTTGAAGGGATGGTGAGTTTAACTACAGGAAATGTTTCCTTGAGGAGACAGTGAAAGTTTTGGTGTGGGACCCAGGAGGCATCATGGGCTGGAGAGCAGTCAGCCAGATTTGACAGCTTTGTCTTTCCCCTACCAAATCCATCCCAAGTCTCAAAGTCTTCTCCCTTCCAGACTGGTAAAGTCAAGTCCTCTTAGATCCTTGAGGTTACCACAGAGACTTGTGATTTGGTCCTCCCTTGAACCAGTTCAGCCCCTGGAGGCCAATATGAAGTGCTGTAGGCATCTGCTTTCCTTTTTTATCCATCGCACCAATATGTCTTTAGCCATCACAGCTTGGGTCCTACCTATATAAACTCTGCCAAATGTCAGGGCATTCTTCAGTGCAGGTGGTGCTAACAAGACAGGCACAGCCCTCACGAAGAAGTTCCTTTCATCTTGGAAGTCTTGGGAGCCACTTAAAGGCTTTGGACTCCAGAAGAGTCAGAGCAACTTCAGTAGCACTGCTGAAAAATACCTTTGTGTTCAGCAGTTGTCACGGGGCTGTCCCTGCCTACACTTTCTGTAGGTGTTTATCTGTTTCTGAAATCTTCGGGGTTCTCACAGCATCTGGTAGAGCAGTTCTGTAGTCATTTTGTGCATGCAGGGCCATGAGACTCCCCATGTACCAGTGCATGTCATACGATGACAACTGTGTGGAACCACCCACTGTGTGAATGTACATTTGAACCATCATGTACAGAAAGAATAAAGAAGTGAGACATTATTTATCAGCAGTGCAAATCTTCTGGGATAGAGTCCACAAACACATAGGTAATGTAATGGCTCTGAGGAGAGGCGACTGCCTCAAACTTGTCAGCCTTGTTTGCCCATCTGCTTTTTTGGATTTTTTTTTTTTTTTTTAACTGGAATCTTATTTCTGCAGAAAATTGAACTGCACTGCAATTTAGGTGAGAAATTTTGACTTTTAAAATGGAAGCATGGAATTTTAACTGAAAAATGCAAGTTTGTTACAGATTCACTGCAGACAAATTTTGTATCTGTGAGTCCTTTCAACCCAACGTATCACTTAAAACTCTTGTTAAAAGTAAACACCTCACTGACAAAAACATAGGAGTTTCAGCTAGACTCTTGAATGCACTAGTGTTCTCTCTTGCTGATCAAAATGTCACTTATCCATCACCTTAATGGTTGATGCCCTTTCCGTGTTGTCACACGCTGGTGACTGATTTGCCCACGTCTAGCCCCAAAAGAGGGGGCAGATTCCCTGCCCTTGCTGCCCTTCTGCAGGCTCCGCCGAGTCCCCCCTTGCTGCCTCTGCCCCTCTGCGTGCCGGGAGGGAGCCCTGCTCGCTGAGGGACCTCGCAGCACGTTCCAGCAGCTCTGCTCTTTCATCCCTCTTTTCAAGGAAAATAGGAAGTTGGATGAAAGGGAGGTGGATCAAACAAAAAAAAATCTGGAAATGTAAATCAAATGCTTTAACTTTAGTTCCACAAGTTTAGGGTGATCTCATCCTGTGCAGATGTTTCCTTGCATTTTTCTTGTAGGTTTGTATGTGATCTTTTTTGGTAGGTTTGTATGTGATCTTTTTTGCTGCTGGCAGTGCTGTCATTAGCCCCAAATGCTTTCTTTACATTTTGTATTTGTAGGAAACTTTACCTTACTTTTTAGACAAGAAAAAATACAAAGATTCAGAGTTTCGTGGGTTTTTTTTTTTTCCACT